CGCGGGCAGAGCAGGGCTATCTATACACGCCGGGAGGGTGCCGTCGCGGTTATAAATTGATGGTAAATAAACACGAATTGTATTTACTACAAAAGGTTGAATGTTTATGTTTACGCATACGAGATAGTGCGTATAGGTGATAAGTGGTGGCATGGCCATATGGAGTATATGGCTATATTTTGTGAGTTTGTGCACAGGGACGTGGTGCATGTGCCATGTAGTATATAACATTGTATGTCGCAGAGCAGTATTTTACCGGCATTTATTTGGAATAACTGGGCGATAGCGAATACACAAACAGTACGATTTTAATAGTAAATACCATTTGTGTTTATTTACCATTATTTCGTTATTAAAACGGCCCACGTGCTTGTGCAAACTACGAGGCGTAGCGGTCAACTGTCCCGGATGTAAACATGCGAGTGCGTCCGCCATGATGGATCACAGCGATTAGCCGAATCCACCGCGAACTATTCAATTGAAAAATTCAAGTCCAAAATATATATTTATCGCCATAAATTGTGCATAATATACGGGTAACGTTAAATAAATATATATCGAAGGTGATGGAATATAGCGAAAGGCGACAAGCCTATCCAGTCTGCTGCCAACCCTAAAGACCCATTATCACGCGGGCTGATCATTCTAATGCTATATAGGAACGGCTCGCACACATTTATCGATGCTAAATACTGACGGATTTGCGACCCACTCTTATAATAAACACCGCGACAATAAAACGGGGCGATGTAACAGGCTAATTTCACGCGTCATACCTCACATATTAAAACCAACCCCACGATCAAGCCGGATCTAGAATCGGCGGCGAGTTATTCGGCCTTTTGCGGACCAACAGCCCGGAGACATGGATGAAGAGGTGGAATGCGTTTATGGATGCCAGTTTCCCTCGAGATACTTTCGCGGTGGTGTGAACCTTTCTTCTCGTAGGTACACGTGTGTCGTACTCTATGTGCGTGGAGCGCATGTCCCTGCGATAGTTCGTCGACTTCCTTATATAAATTCACGCGTTTTTTTTCGCTCGCTTTTTCATGTTTTTTTTATTGAATCGGAGGTTTCCCCGAAGCTGTTGCTTGTGCGATTGGTGTCCGTTCCTTCAACAGCATGCATGCAAACAGAAGACGCACACCCAGTCACCCTTCACCCACGCACACGTATAACGCAAGCTCTCCCCTCACCCACGCACACACAAGACACACACTCATCCACGCATACACTAGACACACATTCACCAACCATCACTCATCCACGCAATTGCGCGGCACGCACACTTTACACCCCCGCACTTTACCCACACAACATACACACTTACAAACCTCCCCTTACTCGCGCACACACGGCACGCACACTTTACACCCCCGCACTCTACCCACACAACGTACACACTTACAAACCTCCCCTTACTCGCGCACACACGACACGCACACTTTACACCCCCGCCCTCTACCCACACAACGTACACACTTACAAACCTCCCCTTACTGGCGCACACACGACACGTACACTTTACCAACCACCCCTCATCCACGCACACACACATCATATACACTTACTAACCACCAGTCACGCACACACACATCATATACACTTACTAACCACCAGTCACGCACACACACATCATATACACTTACTAACCACCAGTCACGCACGCCCACGCGGCAGGCGGGAACTCGCTTGTAGTTTTATACGGCTTTAGAAGTCAAAGCAGTGGATTAAGTAAGGACTTGAAATCAGCCCCGCGGGAGAAAACCACGCGCGCGCGGGCACACACGCACACACACGCACGCACACACATACACACGCACACTTGCGAGTGCTGATCTTGCTCCTATATCTATATCAGTGCGACTGAAGGTTCCGCACACAGAAAATCCACTCCTAATGCCAGTAAATTGCTTCAGACTCGGCGCGGTGTTTAACAGTGCCTCGTGCAAAAAAAAAACGTTTTAATCTTTCGAGTTGGTCGATTTCTTTGTCTGTAGCCAACGCGGGACATACGCGTGAACATTTTTAAGAGCACAGAGATAGCGAATAGACGACAGTTGCAAGAAGGAACCTCGGTATATAGGCATGTCTTTATAGAGCGGATTGACCAACGTACCAACGTAATTACCTCCGCCCAACAGAGTTGGAAGAGGTTATGTATTCGCTCTTGTGTGTTCGTGTGTTCGCGCGATCGATATTAGCGCGTCAGCCAGCCAGCCAGTGATACCCAGCGAGCCAGCAAGCGTGTAGGTGTGAGCGAGCAGCAGCAACGAGCGGCTGCTACGAGCGAGCGAGCGGCAAGCCAGCAAGCCAGCGTGTACATGTCAGTACGCTGGCGTATATCGTGGCTTATTCGTGTGTTCGTGAGTCGTATGGCGTATGTCGCTGGCGGAGGTATGCACTCTCCGTGAGTGCACTCTGTCTAGTTTCTACGTATTTCTACTATCAAAGTAAAATAAATGGTCACAATCCTTCCCCCAATGTACTAATACAAAATAGTGAACCAATATAATTATCTAATGCGCCGCCATATAATTTACACTGATAATCACCGTGTAATGGAATGTAATAAATCCATAACGTTGCTAGAACGTAATTATCAGAATATATCAGACCCATCCTCATTTTCCCAACAGCATTTTGCCCACTATATGGTTGCATATACCGTACGAGCAAATAAACGCAGACAATTTTTGTCGCAAAATATAATATAATATACCTCGAAAATCCACACATCACTCGTAGTCGTAGACAGCACAGACTCCTAAATATGTTACCAATCACACATTTTCAATTGGGCACTTACATTACCAAAATAAAAGAATCATAAGTGTGTAATGATCACTCCTCATTCCAATGGACCACGCCTCAACCCTGTATACTAACTATAGTAGTACGGATACGCCACATTTTATGACGCAAAGCAATATTATATGGTCATGGCAAAAAACGGAAACTAATAAGAACTACGAATGTAGAAATTAGCTTTATATGTGTATCGTAAAATATGTTTGAATTCATGGAATGATAAGTATTTATAGCACTTAATTGAAAAAATACAGAAACCAATAAAAATCATTTTTGAAAAGTGAAAATACTAAAACGTGTAACCGTATTATAAGTACGATTTGCGTAAAAATAATAACGGTGAAAAATGAGAGTTTCACCCGCAATAGTGATTGTATTTAATTCAACATTCACATTCAACATTCTAAAACAAATGTCATGATCCTGTTTTTCCCAATCACATGCATTAGCACCACGGAATGACAGTTTAAACATGTTGAAATCAAACACCTACGGCTAATATTCTATATACTAACGTCCATTTTATACAAATAGCAATATAGCAAAATAGCATTCAATATATATTTATATTAGAAGATATTAGAATATATATTAGAATATTATATATTCTCCACCCCATCCTCCATTCATTCCACTGTCACCAAAGAAGGCTACTCTCACCATTGTCCTCTCTATACTACCTCTAATAGGATGATAAACTAAGTGCTACTGCTATTGAGAGTTAATGGAAAATAGAGAGAATTTGCCCTCTGACACTGGAATTACAAATGCGTTTTCAGATTGCTACTTACATGGCATATATATATATGAATGTTATGTTTACGCATACGAGATAGTGCGTATAGGTGATAAGTGGTGGCATGGCCATATGG